AAATGGTCGGCAAACCAGTCCAGGTTCCCGGCGAGTTTCCCAATACTGTTGCTGCCTCAGTGAAGAATGGAGTCGTTTGTGTTGGTTCTACTGGTGCCAAGGCTGGTGTTTCCTGCAGCAGCTTCTCTCGACAAGGACTCGGTGCCATGGATGAGCTGCGAACGATCGACCTTGGCCAAACGACACCTCCCGCTGGGCCTACCAACACACTTTCACAAGTACTCTTCTCAGACGATGAGTCCATGCTGTTCACTATGGTCAAGGGTGACCCTGCTGTGAACAAGACTGGCTTTATCTCCGTTGCGAATGTCGAGATGAACAATGGAGTTGCGGCTGTGAGCAAGCAGGATGCTCGCAGTTCACCTGAAGGAACAGCTGTTCTCTTCGGATCGCAGGTCATCCCAAGAACATCAAAGGTCTTCGCCACAGACGCTTCTTTCGGCGCGGCCATTCTCGATGTCGACCCCAACAGCTGTGAAGCCACAACCGCCGCCAAGGGAGCAGTCCAAGGCCAAACAGCAACTTGCTGGGTCGCCATTTCCCCCGCTACCAAGTCTGCTTTCGTGACAGATGTCGGCCGCAACCGAGTTGTCGAGATGAGCCTCGAGGATGCAAGCGTCGTGTCTGAGCTTGACTTGACTTGCAACGGCGACCCTGGTCTGATCGACCTGGCTGCTTCTGGCAACTTCCTCTATGCTCTTTCGCCTGGCAATGGTACTACTCAGGCTGCTGTCACTGTTCTTGATGTCTCCGGTGGATCTGGGTCGGCGAAGATGGTGCAGCATTTTGAGTTGGCTGGTATGGCGAGCAAGACTGCCATGGGAATGAAGGTCATGTAATAATTGAAAGAGAGCAAGTTGTGATTGGTTGGACCTGATGTTTAGATTGTATACTAGGATAAATTAAGCATTTCTCTTTGGCTTCCTTCCTTTATCCTCAATTCTTGCTCCCCCAAACTCTATTCGCTGCCTAGTCATCTTCTCATCATGTAGGTTTGCTTGCCCAAGCGCGCTGGCCCCCAAATTATGGGAGATTCCTCTCAAGTTGCAAATCTTAATCTTCATGACGCTTCATCAATACGGAGTCTACCATTCACTCCCGTAGCTCTACCCCCGGACCCATCGTCTTTGTAAGGTTGTTTGGGGCTCATTATTCGTCCTCTCTATTGCACGATGTACTTTCTCATCCTCGAGCTACTTTACTGGTTGCTGGCCACAAGGTTAAGCTTTAGGGTGCTAAAACACATGACGAGGGCACAAATTTATTTTTGCACAATAAAAGCTTCGACCCAAAAATTGAACGATACTTATCTTCCAGCGTTTTGCTTTCTTGACTTGTAGTCCACTCCACCATTTTCTTTTGTTTATCCCTTCTACAATCGACAATGTACATCACTAGACTAGTGCTGAACCACTCGGCGACAGGTGTGGAAGATAACGGAGGAAAAATATCCGAGTTATATCAATCTTTGACCATAAGTAGTATGAGGGAGAGAACCAGCTTGAAAATACAACTATGGGCTATTCTAGCGTTAGAAAGAATGCTTAAGCCGTACTGGTTATATCGTGAGTATTGAACTTGCTGGCTTAACTCCTAGCATGCAAGCATCGACGGAAACACATACAAATAGTGAAAGATCAAATTATAGAGCCATTGTACCCACTTTATCACCCCATCGAGTGCTTTGCTACCAATCGGCCGCTGAGCCTGCGCTTCTAATCCAGCTGATACAATGGCTCAAGCGTAGCTGACTTCTGAAGAAAGATATGCCTGTTGACAAACCAAGGCAGCCAATGTCGAAGCTGATACTCGACGTGGCGTCTTGTCGGAACTCCAAAGATGTAGTCCAACTCTTCGAGAGTACGTTGCCTGTAACATTCTAGTCAGTTATGGATATAATGAATCGCACCGTTGTTCCCTTACTTGGTCTCTGGAATGATCAAGAATATCACTACAAACGCTACAACGTTGAGGCCTGCGTAGAAGCTGAATGCCCCAGTCGGTCCAAGACGATCAAGAAGGGAAGGGAACGTCAAAGTCAAAGCGCTGCCAACCGCGTTGTTGACACAGATGGTGAACGCGGAGCCAATCTCTCGATGGGAGAGTGGAAACGCTTCGGAGAAATAGATAGAAGGTAGTGGTCCAATGCCTAAACAGTTAGCTTCTGGCAGATTGGTGAATGGATGATCAACTTACCAGGTCCATACATAGCTGTGAAGAGGTAGATGAAGAAGGCGATAAGCGGTACTCTAGCACTCGAGTCCTTATCAATAAGAAAGCTGAATCCTGCTGCCAACAAACACCATGCCATGTTGGGGAAAGTAACTAGCAGCAGATTTCGCCGGCCAAAAGTGTCAACCATATAAACAGCAGGAAAGGCAAAGATAAACATGACCAGGCCGAACCCCATAGAAGCAAGCAGGCAGTCCCTAGTCGAGTAGTTGGCAGCAGCAAAGATGGTAGACGAGTAAAATGCCATGATGTTGATTCCAGAGAATTGCTGTGATATCACAATCCAAGATGATGCAACTGTAGCTCGGCGGAGGCGAGGAACGCTGACGAGTTCCCACATTCGACGTGCGAGGGTCTTTCCGCCGAAGGCATCTTTCTCTTCGAGGATCTGACGGTGGGCGTAGTATAAGTCCCGGGCCGCTAGCATTTCCGTGTTACGAATGCGGCAGAAGACTTTGAAAGAGTCTTGGTATCGGCCCTTCTTGATGAGCCAGCGAGGGGACTCTAGTATAAAGTTAGCTTTGGGATTGGTACAGTAAAAGCGAACACTTACCAGGGCAGAACCAAACAAAGATCACCACCGGGATAGCTGGGACAAAGGCGGCTGCAAGCTGGAAACGCCAAGCAAGGTCTCCGATACGATACCAGATAAGGTTTGAACAGAATCCTACGAAAATGCCAAAAGCAACCCAAAGCTGGAAGCTCGTGACGATGCCACCTCTGATAGATGCAGGGGCAATTTCAGCAGAGTAAACGGGAATGGTCGAGATTTTGATACCCATACCAAGACCCATAAAAAGACGACAGATCAAAAGTCCCCACCAGTTCTGGGTAAAGGCTTGAGCAAGCACGGGGAAGATGCAGAAAAGACCAGTTAAGAAAATGGCGCCGCGGCGACCAATGCGGTTGTTGATAGGGTCGGCTGCCCAAGCGCTGAGAAGTCCGAACAGAGTCGGACCAGAGTTGATGACACCTATAAGAGTGGTCTTATGCTCGATGCCGAATTCTTGGGGGAAAGATAGGTTTGCTCCATTAGCGCCAGTGTTGTCCCAGCCCTGTACGGCAGACCCCAGAGAGCAGAGAGCAATGCCATAGTAGAGGGTACGAGGGAGATGCCACTTATGGGTTACCTCCCGTTCCAATACGCGTTTATCATCGTCAGTTAGCTCTTCAATGCTTTCGTAGCTGGTTGGGTTTTGAGCTGCAAGTGCCCCACGGTAGAACACGTCTATCTTGTCCTGGAAGTCATAGTCTTGACAGAAGGCAATGACTTGAGTTCGCAGATCGGCTCGAGAGATGCCCGCAAGAGGGTTGCGAATTCTGTAGATTGACGATGTCAGCAACTGTCTACTGTCTGGTGAGTAACATACTTGGCGTTTGCATTCCGAGTAAAGTCCTGAGGCGTGAGGTGGTCGATGTGCTCAACATCATGCTTCAGCTGGTCTTCAATATCAGACTTTCGATCCATTGTGATTTCAGGAATCTGCAAAAGTACTAGTAATCAATTGATAGCCTTTGAACAACATGTCTGTTTATCAGCGCAAGAGGGCCACTTTTATAATCGTTGATCAAAGCATCAACTTGCGGGGTGAACTAGGTTCCCCAGAGTATCAACTTTCGCTCCAAACTCTTCTTAAAATGGTGCCACTTCCACCCCAGACTGAATGATTCCACCCCGCATAGGATTTAACATCATGTGAGATGAGACAAACAAGAATGTTCCTGAAGTGCCGGATCTCGGCAAACTGAACAATTCCCCCCGAAGGAAGAGTTAGTGTAATCGGGTCAACAACCCGATTGGCCAATTTGAGTTTGGAACATGTACTAAGATGCTGATGCCACACGCAGGGCAATGGAACACACAGGGCATGAGCGGGGAACGCTACGCCGAATGAATTGGCACACGCAGGGCATAGGAGGGGAATAGTGCACAGAGACTTGGTACACGCAGGGCAGGTCACAGTACGGTCGCAATCTCGGCAATTTGGAGCCATTTGAGTATTGAGAACTCGATGGAAGTAAGGTTATAAGCGTATTCCCTACCGCCCTCTATCCTACACCATCATAACCAGTCATCATAAACAAGCATCTTTTACATCAACCAAACAAAGCATTCTACAAACCTTATCCAAAATGGGAAGCACCGGAACTCAATCATGGCTTGACAAGCTCGAAGAGCAGCGTACGTTTCTCTTCTGAAGAAGGCCTTAACGACGTAATGCTGATGGGATTAGTCAACGTGGATGTCGATTGGATGGCTCCTGAGTGGATTAAATCCATGCCATTCAAGTTCCATGATCAGACCAGCAACCAACTCTGGGTTGACATCCAACTCGGTGATGACTCGAACAAAGAATTGTTCGAGCAAACTACTAAGGAGCTCAAAGACCAAGGCTGGCTCGCCATCTATACGCGCATGGTAATTGATGCATCTCATCGGTGTTAAGGGAGACCTGCTCACTGGATCACAGGCTGTTCTTATGTGCAAGAAGAACATCGATTCCATCCAAGGCCGGGTTCTTCTGCAAACACTTCCTTCCAAGGCTTACGACACGCAAGCAACTCTTGATCATGCACGCCTTTACGATAAGGAATTTGCAAGAGCCGGCATCTCGCGAGAGCGGTTCTGCATCAAGATCCCTTCTACTGGGCCTGCTCTGAACGCCGCAAAGATTCTCTCCGCCGAGGGCATCCCTACACTTGGCACGGCACTTTTCAGTCTCGCCCAGGCTATGGCTTGCAGCCAGGCTGGCATGCTATACATCAGCCCCTACTACAACGGTAAGTTAAATAAATAAGCAGTAACGTTAAACAATTAACACAAAGCTACAGAAACGCGGGCGCATGATGAGCTATCTCTTTGGCCAGACGTTGCTGACCCTGCGCTGGAGCACCCAAACTCTCCACGCATCGTCCAGATTCTTGAGACATACAAACGGCTTTACAAGGAAACCGGAAAGGAACAACCCCTTGTGAAAAATGCCAGGTAGGAAATAGACCACAGATACCAGCATCCAAACTGACAGGTCCCCAGCTTTATCACGCCTCAGGAAGCTATGGCCGCTGGTGAGATGGGATGCCACTCAGCCACCATCTCTCACACCGTCCTCGAGAAACTCTCAAAGCTTCCTTACGATGCTTCCAAGCAGCCCGGAGAAGGTCTTCCTAAGCCTGTTCACGCGTATAAGAACGCTAATCCACTCCCTGAGAGACTCAAGAAGCTCCTTTCTATCGATCCCTTGGCTGGACCAGACTGGGATGGAAAACTGGCCAGCACTGATGTCGACTATCTTGCTAACGGTGGTGCTGAGATTGACAAGGCGAATGAGGCTGATAAAGCGACCAAGACTCGCTTGGCAGATGCGCTGACACTGTTTATTGGTGGTGAAGAGCGAAGCAAGGCCAAGGTTGAAGCCATGCAGGCTAAAGTGTAGACAAGTCTTTCACATCGCCGAGAAATTGACCACCAAAGCAATTTGCCCAAGAGTACTAGAAACAATATTGTTGAAGTGTCGTATCTGGCCCAAAATCCATCGCTGAAAGAGGAAAGTCGGTACCCCAGCCCGTGAGAGACATCTGATCGCCTGAAGTGTCCGCAAGGAAGTCGTGCATGTTAGAGATCGGCCTGCCATTCTCCAGTTGTGTTTCTGCAATTTCATCGACGCTGGACTCGTTCATATTCTTTAGTGGCATCATCATAGCTTGGTTTGGTAAATGTTGCGTTTCCATCAGAGCCATAGTCTGGTTGATAAGCTCATCTGAATGAGGTATTGGTCCAGTCGGATCAAATGAAGAGCTTTGAATTAGACTGGCTTCTTCGTTACCTAGTAAGGTTGTGTGGGGTACTGGTGCTGGGTGAATAGAATTGGTCGGAGGAGAGAAAGAAGGCTGAGAAGTCGGATCGTTGACGACAGTGTAGCTCGTATCCAGCGGAGCTGAGTCTTGGGCATCAGCACGAAAGCCTTCTGCTTGCTGACCTCGAATTCTAGTCTCCAACTTCCCCAGGTCATCAAGGTTCATCTGGGTGCTCATAGAACGACGTTCAGGCATCGCAGCGGTAGCTCGCCAGGTATTCACCTCAGCAAGCAGCTCATCTCGTTCCCGAACCATCGCCCTATAAGCCTGTATCACATCCAGGCACGCAGTGCGTTCGAACTGATGACGTGAGATGCTCTCATCAATCACGTCGTGCTTGGACAGCCTGGCGGGGTTCTTCCCAGCTAGCGCTGGTAGTTCTTTCGCCAGGTCCTACAGCAAAACGTCAGTCGAGGTATAGAGAGAAAGTACAGCAGATGACTAACGTTAAGCCGCTCTCGAAACAGCTCCCGGCGCTTCTTCTCAAAGATGCGATGTGCAGCCCGGTCATCTGCCGTGAAATTGCGGACGCGCTTCTTGGGCGGTTTTGTGGAGGCACCATTTGGCCCGGCGCCTGAATCACCAGACGCGAGTTCTGCTCGAGCTGCTGCTAGCATTTGTCTCTGGCTTGAACTTGAATCAGCTTGAGCTTTTATTCTCTGCTGCTGGACAAGTAATCAGATTCAAGATATCAGGCTAAGAATACGTCAGCTGAAGTTGAGTGCCGGATATGGGTCGAGTTTGAATGCGACGCTTCTCCACACGTGAGCGTTCCCCTCATCCTAAAAACATCGCTGGCAAATCATATCCTTGCCAAGGCTTGCCCTGCGCAGGTCAGAAGTTACTGGTGGGATAAGTTTATCCACTTCTGTTGGTTGATTTGACATATTAGCATCGAGGAGCATTGTTGCACAAGCTGCGCAAGGAAGAGAGTACGATGCCTCGCGCATTGGATCAGAATATGTAATTATCTACAAATATAGACAATCGAGAGAAACGACTGACAGTATCCAACTCATTTTCGTGTCTGTACTCCCGACAGACGTATCTCTAGCGCCCGTACCTGACTCGCGCGACAACCTCTTCGATGCTCTCCTGCGGTACTCCCAACAAGTCATTGTCGAGGATGCCCCGTCTCTCGAAATTCGCCTCAAATCTGTCCTGAACATTGACTGCAAGACCCAGTCTTCCGGTAGCCATCATTCTGGGCATCATTTCAGTGGCTGTTGCAACGATCTTCTGTGCCTTGGCGATCTCTTCATCGGTCTTGACATGCGTGATCTTCCACCCTTCCTTACCGACGAGCTTTTGCTCGGCCTCCAGGACGTCATTCAGAGACAGCTCTGTCGACGAGATATAGACGATGCGATTCGCTGTTTCTTCTGGGTGACCGAGAATGCCAACGACAACTTGGCCGACGCCATCGCGGGTAGTGGCGGTAAACTTGGCATTCCCATCATCCAGGATCTCAGCTGTCTTGGCCTCAGGCTTGATACCGAAAAAGTCGACTTGAATGCATCTATATGAGGTTGTCAACAAAAGTACTTCATCCCGAAAGTTGAATGACCTCACAAATCTAGGAAAGCTCCGCAAGCAACTTCAGTCCAAGACCAACCGGGCTGCTCGAGAAACTTGAGATGCTCAACCATACGCGCTTTCGCAGCTGCAACAGGAAATATCTTAACAGCCTCTTCATTGGTCGTGTCAACGCCATAGCCCGAGGAGATCAATCTCTTGACACCAGCCTCAACAGAAGCACGAGCTAGCTCATGGAGATGCTCCTCTGCTGCGAAACCCAAGGCCAGTACCACAGCATCATGACCACGAAAGGCCTGTACCATCTCGAGTGGTGGGTACTCATCGTGCACTTGAACAACTTTGGTCGGTTCAGGATACTCAGCTGGCTTGGAGCCGAATCTGTTGATGACGGTGATATCGAACTTGTTGCTTCGGTGTAATGATTTGAAGATGAATGCGCCAATGCGACCCGAAGCCTAATAATGTCTGTTTGTCATTCGGCTTTGCTGCTGGCCATGATAACTTACGCCGACTATGGCTACTTTACGTAGCGGGGAAGACATCTTGGATTCGGACTAACGTTAACAAGGTGAGGCTGGACGAAGTTACGAATGTTCCAGGTTCAGCTCAATATCAGAATTATTCACTGGTGAGCGACAAATGACCAGCCAGCAGAAATCCTAGTTCGAATTCATAATGTAATTATTAGAATTGGATGTTCTAAGCTAATATTCCCTTTCTTATAAGCAATGGAACGTTTACAAAGGCGCTGTTCTGTGGAATCGTGGCAGATCACAACTCTAGGGTACCTCAATTTATCATCTCATACACAAGCTCCATTACACCCCAGCTTCAGCCTTGATTGCGGGGCTCTAGGTCCTTCAATTGATTCTTTAATGCAGCGCAGCAACAGCGCCCGGTCTGAGTCATTGACCGCCTGAGCTTTGACTTTTGTTTCATTATTGTCAATGCTGAAAACCGTCAATAAGTACCCAGACTTTGCTCTTATTTTCCCTTCACCTTGCTTTCTTGAAATTTTCGCCATTGCTCGCCGCCTCACCCACGACGCCATTTCAACGATGGATTCCCTACCTGATGAGATTGTCAGCATTATCATCACCAATGCCACAGCGCACGAATTAACTCAGCTGTCCCAAACTTGTAAAAGGCTTAATAGACTTGCTGAACCGCTATTATGGACCAATGTCGAGTTTCATCATCATACATTCCACGAGGCTTGCGACTTGAAACAGCCCTCGCCCATGATATCTGCATCACAACGATTTTACTACTGGGACACTGAATACTCGGGACAATGCAAGGCAGAAAAATTCTTTGAGATGTTGCAGGATCTGTTGTTTGAGGACATCGGCCGGCTGAAACAACTGTGCTCACGAGTTGAGTCTATCTGCACGGTTGTTCGCTCCAAGATAGACTTTTGGCAAATTTTACCGTATTTCACCAAGGTCAGGGCTCTTGAGCTATATGGCGACTCCTCTTATTTCGACCAGAATGAGCATAGATCGTTCTGCCCATCTGCCCCTACGCTTTCGAAGCTCCGTTACGTAAAGCTCGATGGCTCTATACCTACGGACGTCGCCAAATGGATATTGGAGTCGTGCTCAACCGTCGAGCGACTAGAGCTCGGACTACTTGACAAGCCGATAGAATCAAGAGCAACTATGGAGGACGATTTTCCACGCTTGCCTGAAGATATCTACAGTCCACCCGAGGATCCCACGTATGGTAGACTCTGGGGATGGGCTGTCATACCTAGACCCTTATCCGGCTTCTTACCATTTCACAAAGATGCGACGTCATTAGGATTGCCACGACTACGACATTTGTATCTCTGTCAGCCATCACAGAGCAACCTGTCAGCAAGAATGGTCAGCTATTTCTGGTCAACAAGTGCCGAGGTCTCCGCCCATAAAGATTGGGAGAATATTTTGCAGGCCTCGTGTGAAACGCTCGAGACGCTGTCTGTAGAGCAACAGAGTGGGATAGAGCATGGAGACGGTGCCGTCGATGATGCAGAGGGATTCTTCCGAAGTGACCAGGACGGTCTCGGTAGCGAGAGGTTGATGGACATGCTCGAAAGAGCTTTGACGGAGAGAAAGTTTCCTGCATTGAAGCGCGTTTATCTGAAGGGAATTGTTGTTGGGTCGAAGGAACGTGGTGAGCCGATTGGAGATGTACCTGGAGGTCGGTTTATGAGATTTCTTCAGACAAAGGGGATTACCTGCGAGGCGAGACTTGGGGAGGGGTACTGGTTTCATGGCGATGATGGTATGGGACCTTCTGCTGAATGGGACGCGCGCGATGATGATTGGGAGGAGGAACTTTTAGCAAGCGTTGATGGTCAGCTATGAGACAAGGGTGTTTTTCAGATAGAGGTTCTATCTGCTGGCGCCGCAGCGCACTGGTAGTCGTCTCGATACGAACAATCGCATCATCAATGAATCAACGTACCACTGACTCCTCTTTGCTGTATCGGCGAATCTTGTTGCCCAGGATCGATTTTAGGGAGTTCATGCCATACCCAATCGGGCTAGTGTTATAGTATCCATGTGGACTTAGTTATCATAGCTCAGGTGAGTGTCGCGATGAGAAGCTTCCTCCAAACAAGCTGAGATAAGAGTATGGGAATTAGGGATCTTGAGCTTGCGCCAGATATAGCTGAGCACCGTCATCGTTTAGAGCGACTTCAAACATGATATGCTTTGACCGTTTCTTTAGCAGATTTTTTACCATTAAAACAAAACGATGCCTGCTCCCCCCACCTCGAACCCTGCAGGAACTGACACGTCTCCCCATGCTGATCAACTACTAAGCCTCGGCCAAGCATCTCATTCGTTCGTCTATCCCCAAGACTCGTTACTATAATTCGCCGAACCCCCCCAAATATGGAGTAGGACAATTTATCTTATCATTATTTCCCCCGACCGAAAATTCCCAGATTGTTTTTCGGTTTTCTCTTTTTCCCACATAGACCCTGCGCTATATAAGCTCCCGAAAGCTAAAGGGACCCAACGAACAAGGTCTCTGCGACAAGATATAAGGACTGAAAATGTCGACACCGCCGGCGGCTGCAACAAGCCCGAAGAGCGAGAAAAGTCCTGCCAAGAATACTGCGAAAAGTCCCTCAAAGAGTCCCTCAAAGAGCCCTTCAAACAGCCCCCCTCAACATGCACAGGTGAATGTTGGAGATACCGGCATTCTGGAACCTACACATTGGCAGCAGCTTGCCGAGGTGAGATAAGCCCGACGGACCAACATGCTTACGGGTTTCATGTTGGCCACTTATATGCATATTTATGCTGACTTGATTCTAGGAGGAGAATGTGAACCAAGACGATGATGCTCATTCGCTGAGCGAAGAAAGTCTCGCGTCCTCGACAGATTCAGTGACTTCTAGTATTTTTGAATACCGCAAGCTTCATGGGAGGACATATCATCGGGAAATTGGCAGTTCACAGTACTGGTGAGATATTCCAGTATGTATTCGTCGTGTACCGAGGCTCACTCGAATAGGGCTGCAAACGATGAAAGACAAAGTGAACTGCTCGATATCAAGTAGGTTGAACCGCAATTTATGTTCAGAACGGCAACTGATTTCTAATAGCCACCACTGTCTGACGCTGGGTATTGGAGGAAAGACGCACCTCGCCCCTCTTGATACTGAGAAAATTACAGTGAGCGATGAATGGGAAACCTCTCAGACATGATTGAAAGCTAACATTTCAAAAAGAAAGCGCTTGACATTGGAACAGGCACTGGTACGTGAAACTTATTTTGATTATTCTATGTGCTAGCTGACATGCTATGTAGGTATCTGGGCTCTGTAGGTCTCCAGAATGTAATCTTGAAGACGCACACTGACCCCAGGCAGAGATTTCGCTGATGAATATCCCAACGTGGAAGTTATCGGCACCGATGTATCGCCAATTCAGCCCTCTTGGGTCCCACCGAACCTGCAATTGTGAGTCTTCTGAGCCATGTACAAGGTCGCATATTGACATTTTTTAAGTGAGATCGAAGACTGTACCCAAGAGTGGACGTTTGCGCCCAACTCAGCCGACTACATTCACATCCGCTGGCTCATCGGCAGTATCCCCGACTGGTATAAATTCTTCCGCGAGGCCTATAAGACCTGCAAGCCAGGTGGTTGGGTCGAGAGTTTTGAACCTTCGGGTATTATCACCAGTGACGATGACACCGTGAAGGAGAGCTCTGCACTGGGTCAGTGGGGTAAGCTGTTTATTGAAGGGGCTAAGAAGCTAGGTGTGAGCTTCACTGTATATGAAGAAGAGCTACAGCGGAAAGCCATGGAAGCTGCTGGCTTTGTTGATATCCAGCAATTCGAGTACAAGGTAAATAAACTATATTTGCAGAGGTGGACGATGACTGATAACATTCGACTGCAGACTCCAATTGGCGGCTGGCCCAAAGATCCAGAGCTGAAGGAGCTCGGCCAGTTCGGCAAGCTTGCGTTCCTTGCCGATCCCGAAGGTTTCGTGCTTTTTGTTGCAAATACGATCGGTTGGACGGAGTCGGAAATCCATGTGTTCCTTGCGCATGCTCGGAGGGAGATTCACTCGGGCAAGCATCATCCATACTACAAGCAGCGAGTCGTATGGGGCCGTAAGCCTGAAGAATAATCAGTAATTCCGTCTTGAATGCCCTCGGGTTTCTTACATGAGGGGAATTTTGGTAGTGAGAGTAGTGGTCCTGTCTGCGGTGAAGATGATATCGCACGCACTACTAAACTCAAATGGTCTGATTTAGTTGCTAGTAATTTTTCATTTAATACACGAACTACAGTATTCGAAGCTTTCTCTACCCATTGGAACGTGTCATGGAGTTCTCTTACAGGAAAAATATTAATTCAATCACCCTGAATTTTTAGGCTCAAGCTGTGAGTAAAGCCCAGATCCACGATTTTAAGAGAGGTCCCCGAGCTACACACAACTTAAGACGGAAGAATTACCAACATGTCCGACATTACCAATAAATACAGTATCATAGTCTAGGAAACCTTACTTCTCGAGGTTTAATTTATCAGCTAGCTGATAAATGAATAACGGCATCGGGCCTTGCCCGTTGTATATCTGAAGCAAGTTGCGAGCTAGAATTGGCCTCGTCAAACCACGAACCAAGCCGGTCGCAATATCTCCAACTGGCAATCTTTCCACCACAGTACAGAATACTAGCAAAATGGCGATTCCTGAGAATTTCAAGAGCACAATCACCATCACCCACGTTACCACCGCAACTGCGATTGTTGATATCGATGGTGACAAGTTCATCACTGATCCCATATTCGACGAAGCTCCTCAGAGCCATGACCGGTCACAAGTGGCTGGGTTAAAGCCGGGCGAATTCTTTCTTACGCTACAAGAAGGTCCTGCCATATCAATCAAGCAACTCCCCATTATCGACTGTGTCTTACTCAGTCACGAAGATCACATGGACAATTTGGATGAGACAGGCCGTCAACTTCTCATGGGCCGGCGAGTCATTACTACGCCTGACGGTGCAAAGAACTTATCTGACCATCCTGGCACATGCGCTATCGAGCCGTGGCAAACCTTGGAGTTCCAGCTTGGGGGTGACGAATGGAGCATTACTCATGTCCCTGATGGACAAGTCACTGACTTTCTCTTGCACAAAAAGTCCTTCGGTACCAGCCCAGATGGATGTCAAAATGTGGTTTACTTCACTGGGGATACTGTGTTCATTGAGAGCGATTTCAGGAAACTTCAAGAGAAATACCACGTCGTGGTTTCACTCACGAACCTTGGCTAGGCAATGCTACCAAGTCTAAAGAGCACGACTGGTTTCGTACAGATCACGATGGGAGGTGAAGATGCTGTAAGAATGATGGAAATTCTGGATGCTGATATCATTGTTCCTATGCACTTTGAGTCGTGGACGCACTTTACGCAAGATCGTAAGGCTTTGGAGGAGGCTTTTACTTCTGGAAGCTTGGAGCATAAGATCAAATGGTTATCTTCGGGAAAGGAGGTCAATGTTATCTGGGTTTCTGAAGGTAGTCGAAAGTTCATTTTGATCAGACATGAGACAGGTCCCTCAAGGCATGGTAAGCAAGATTCAATGGAAAGCAAAGAATACTTGCATTTCATTCTTCCTGAAAATCTCTCACACCTTTCATGACTGAACAAATCCAAGATCCTCCAGAGGCTACAGCAACAATTCGGCCTCCGCTCGCTCGCCAGGTACCAAGACCGAGCAACTCACCGTTCGTAACGTGATACGTGCCGACCAGAGGATATCGAACCATTCCTTCTGAAGCACGCAGCACAAGATCATACTTATGCGGGGTGATACGCCTCTGTACCACGCACAGTCCCGCTGAAATCTCACCGGGCGATGTGAGAGCTTGAAGAAGAGATGCCCATTCGGGTGCCGTGACATCGTCTCCGAAAATGATGCCATTACCTTTGCCACTGCGGATCGGCTTCAGGATGTAGCCGTGTCTCAAGCCGGGAGAAGTAAGGGATACTTGCAGCAGATCTTTCAACTCCTTGGAACCAGGAATTAGTGTCTCCGCGATGCCGAGACGTAAGGCTTCAGCTTGAACTGCGGTGACTACTCCTCGCGCCACTAGCTGCGGGATCTCCTGTCTTACAATGCCCAACATCCCTTGTCATGTACGAGAAGTATAGTCCGCATATCATTGAAACACCGCAGGCTGATCTGACGTAACATTTCCGGCTCAAGAGCGAGGAGTTCCCGTTGATGTAACTCAAGCCCAACCTGATATATCTCTTCGCAGATCTCACCGTGCGGAGCTACAAATCTCCAAGTATGGAGGACTTGGCCATCGCGATCGTGTATGACGCAGCACAGCCGGAACCCGCTTTTGCTACGTGCATCTGGGAATAGCCTGAGATCAGCGAGTGCGATGAGCCGTGGCTTTACGCCGAACCGACGCCAGACGGCATTGATGAACATGTGTATGTCGATGCCCTTTTCGGTACCTTTTAAAAGATGGAGTGGATATTCGGGATCGAATAAGTTGAATAGTCCTTCTAGTATCTGCTGATGTCAAAACAAATGAACGAAAGGCGCATGATCATTGTCTTACAGTGTCCGGGTCAGTTGCGGGCATAAGCACCGTCTCCGCGCTCTCTAGGCTCTCGTTGGTTGCCGCTTGGCCATAAACCTCGTGCATGAATCCGTTAAAGGAAAAACGCGCATTGATTTCCGTAATGCAATAGTTCTCTTCGCGCTCGCCGTTGTCCTCCACGAGAAAGTCTGGACGCCATGATCCCCGACACTGCGAGAACTGCGGTAGGTTTCCGATCATGACCTGGCCTTCGATCCACTATATGACGTGTCAGCTAGCGCCGCCTTCTCTCCTTCATGTCTCAAACGGCGATGGATTGACTTACTTGCAGGAGCTCCTCCTCTTTGTCCTCGAGCGGCATGCGTTCTGGGAACCGTGCATCTTTGTCGCTACACCAGCGTTGCACAACATCCGTGATGGCCGCTGTCAAGGCTTCATGAAGATCCTTCAGCTGCTGCTGATGATATTGACCCACTAGTACAGGTCGCGGACATCCTGTCGTGTACGAAGCCTTGGGCCAGAGATTTGCAGGGCATAGGTTTAGGAGCTTTTCCTGGAACCGAGCTTCCTCACTAGAGAAGGATGCCACATCGAAGTTCTGTTGCGAAATAGGCCGGGTCTCTCCATGATCATCCCCGAGGTGAACTTGTGTGAGCTGCTCAGTTTGCATAGTACACAAATAGATTTCTTGATGTGAGTCTAGCTCATCGAGAAGGTGGAAGCCACTACCTAAGCTTATTTATGCTGAAGGGGAGGACCTCTTGTGGACAGACTTAGCTTTCATTTTCAGCCTGCCAATGCCACCATAAAGATCACCATAGACGTAACTGTGCTCTGAGACAAGAAAGCCACAACGAGGACGGCAGTGATGTCGGAATTGGGGCGGCCCATAGAATAGCAAGGCCCAGTTAGAGTTACAGAGAGGTCATTCTGGTACGTACTTCGATTAACGTCGATAATAAACTCAATTTCCTCCAACGGCTCTGTTATCTCGAGATCTTGTTCCATCACCCATCCTGCTATGTCTTTTGCTACGATGCATGGACTTTCGCGTCTTACAAGATTCGGCACCCTTGGGCTGACATATCATCGCCATTTCATTCGTTCCCATGGCACCCTACAGCACAGTCTTCGGGTTCTCGATGTACCGCATATTTCTTGGGCTCGTGATCCTGGACATTTTTACGAAGTTGCAGCAGAGCTTCAGACTTCCGGTCTGCTCAAGATCCGTCTAGGCTTTCCCGATGACTCTTGTGACTACCTTCGGGATCTTATCCTGAGTATGCACAAACAACAGGGTCATCGCTTGCCAATTGCTCACAGTGCGACAAGAGGCTGGTTTTGGGATGTGCGGCCTAAACCAGCCGCTCATACAGGAGCTCATCATGCTCGGTCTGAAACTATGAGTGAGTTCTCATGGCACACCGACTGTAGCTATGAGGATCCACTGCCGAGATACTTCGCGCTCCAGGTCCTACAACATGATCGGTATGGAGGTGGCACGCTGTATGCGATGAACGTAGCTAGCCTCATTGAATTCCTCTCATCGGAAACACGAAAAGCCTTGATGGCACCCGAGTTCCGGATGAAAATTCCACCCGAGTTCATCAAAGACCCCGAGAAATCATTTATTACTGGCAGCATTCTCGCCCCAGATCGCTACTCGACTATTATTCGCTACAGAGGGGACATTGTTACACCACTGACCACTCGGGCAGAGCAAGCTTTGGAAGAGCTGAGAGCAGTATTGGTGCGACGTGAAGTGCAGGCCCACTCAACGATGCATCTGAGGTCGTCCGACCTGCCAAAGGGGTCAATTCTCTTGATGGATAACCGCCGATGGATGCATGCGCGGAATGGAATCAACGATCCCGAGCGCCACCTTCGGAGGGTGAGATGGGATGCAAGACCTTTCAATATCTCCAATCATTAGCTAGAACGGGGAGGGGAATCACGGACCAATCTTTCAAATAGGACAAAACAAAATATTTGTTCTCAAATAAGGTCGTTCTCGGTTGCATTGATCGCTCTATGCCTATTTGTAGAGAATGCCTCCGCATCATGCAGGTCATTCGAAGGATCTCTGTAAGCTAAGAACAGGTTCATATGTAGAGTAAACATCAGTGCCAGCTAGACCTTGAGGCTTGTACTAGAAAGGTTGCCCATTGACACGGATAGCTAAATAGAAGAGTCTGTTGATGTGCAAATGACCTTTTACGTATTCAGCCTCTCGGGAGATTTCGACCAGTGCCCCGCAAGAACTGCTGCTTTTACGTCGGTTCTTTTGCTGATGGTAACACAGGACATGCATTGGCCCAGTGGTTCTCGGGGGCCGTTGGGCACTCACGTAGGTCTCAATGTCAGAGCAGAACATGACGGATATGCGGACTCAGCCGTGTCTCGGGCAGGGGCTCTCCCGAGACATTTGACAGCTCAAGCCATGTTAATGACACGCGGAGTTTTGCGGCAACTTTAACCGGTGCCATCATGAATCACGCTTTCAAACTTCTTGACCACTGCATGCAACATCAAAAGTCACTGGAATGCTTTCCATGCTTCAACTATTTAATATTGCTGTTGGGAAGCGACTACGGAGACTACCTTGATCCAAACAGTCGATGGTCACTGCTGAAATACAGGATGTCTCCCAGCCCGACATACTCGTTGGCAGACGTGCTTGCTGTTGCACAAATGCACCCATTCTATTGCTCAGCTCAGTATCCACCAGATGAAGATGCCATTCAGGGTGCGAGGGAGGAAGCAGCACAGAAGTTCGAACAGTTTGATCTAAAGGCATGGCCACCGCTACTGAAAAGTGATTTGTATGTATCTTGGGCCTCTTTGGGATATTGTCTGACGGAATCAGGTATACCGTGATTGAGCGGCTTATTAACGACACCGACCCGAGGAACACCTATCGCTATAATGTTTACACCAGCGTTACAGGCGGAGGTGGCGGTGTATCGAAGCCGTTGTTCTTCGCGACAGATGCGCTTGAGAATCGTCGGCATAGGGCCCTCTTTGGCGAGTTCCTTAAGAAGATCGGCATCATCGAACGTGGGGACTGGGTCCTGTCGACCCATCACGGCGGCAGCTTGTACAGGTATGCAGAAGCGTTGCCATCAAAAAAACATCACCGCTTACATCCTCCTAGATCTCTTGACCTAACACTGGAGATTCTAGAAAATGCTGGAGCTACTGTGCTAGCTGCTGGGCATCAGTGCCCACCTCCTACTGTGGTACAGTTACTGCAAGACTTCAACGTCAACGTCCTCGCCGGCGACAGCAGTCAGATCATATCAATTGTCCAACAGATATCAACCATGTCAGACATGAAGAAGCGGATCAAGATCAAAAAGGTGATCTACACATCCGAAGGGCTTTCCATCATACAAAGAGCGCAAATCTATGAAGTGCTTGGTCCGGTAATCATATACTCCATACTCGGAGGTGCTGAGGCTGGGCCGTATGGAGCAAGCAGCCCGTTTCTTGTGGATTTCGATCCTGAAACCAACTGCAACGACTTTATAATCGATACAAGAATGACAGCTATCGAAGTTTTCCCGCTTTCTTGCACTGCGGGTGAAAGCGGCTGGATCGCCGAGCCACTGCCAGACGGAGAAACAGGTGTCATTGCACAAACGGTACTGACACGTCTGCGCCATCCTGTCATACGTTACATAACTGGCGACATAGGATCCCTTCATTCCCTACCACACAAGGCCGTTGGTCGCATTGCCAAACATGATCTGCGTCATTACCGAGTTCTCCGCCTACAGGGCCGCGACCATCGCTTCAGCTTTATGTGGGATGGATGCGACTTTCAGTTCGACAAACTGAATAAGATCTTATCTGATCCTCAGTCGGGAGTTCTCTTATGGCAGGTGATACTAGACAAGATGCAACCGTCACAAGAAATTTCGTTGGAGATTCGTCTGCTGAGCGGCCAGAGCTCGGGGGATACTGTGCACTTACAAACCCTTTTGGAGCTTCTGAAGGCATGTTTAGATGTCAGTGTTTCGAATGAGCACAAAGTCAAGGTCGCCTTTGTAAATGATGTTCTTGGGTTTGAGCTGAGTGAGACAGGCCGAAAGGTTATTCGGTTTGTTGACCACTCCTCCTAGTAGTGAGAATTGTACGGCGTGTCATAGCAAATCATCCACTCAGAAATCTCAGGAGATTCGCTACCATAGATGGTGAAATACCGTGAGTCTCCAAATTTGTTCTTTGTGATAGTCAAAGAGAGGAACTGTGCATCTGTTTTCAAATTCTGTGAAAGGACCGAACACGACGTATTACGTAGTGGTCAAGGGAAGGCAAGAAAATCCAGGACCTCTTTTCTAAGTGATAGAAAGACTGAGGCAAGTTTAGTATATTTTAGTAAGCCTTTACACCAGTTTATTTTAGTACTCTAATTTAATATTAGAAGCTTTCTTTCTCCCTAAGGGTGATTCAGGTAACAGTCACACAAGTGATAGGGTAAGACCTGTAGCATTCCTCACAAGTGCATATTGTGCTTATAACATGTTGGAGCTACAGGTTGCCGTGTCCTCTTAAGAGACATGAAGAAGATAGGACAGCTGAGGGTACTTGTGAGCGGAAGCAACTCCGCCTGCGCAACTGAATTGAACAAAGATCTCGCAAGCGGTGTCAACGAAGAAGAATATTATTCCCTTTTCAAAATGCCTTATAGTGAAATTTTGAAGTAGGTGTTACCAGATTACGTTTGGTATCACATTGATGGAGGGGCAGCGTAACCTCCTGCTTCAGTCCCCTCTCCTGTCAGACGTTGGACCTTCCTCTGGACCTTCTTCCCTGGTGGTTGCCGATTAAATTGTCGTTATGCGACGCCCTTTGGAAAGAAACGTTTCCCTAACAGAGCGCCTAAATCCTCCGTCGTTCTTAACCTAAATTGCTCCAGGTCTTCATTGTACGTTACCATCTACAATCAATCGCAGACTTCATCTCCTTGAGGCCTGGATCCTAAAGGTGGCAAAGATTCTTTTACGTTACTTCAAGCTTAGTGGACTATTCATTGACTTCCTTTTGGTATCCTTGTATCAGCACGATGAGTGAGACTAATGCTGGCAGGAATTGGGTCTACCCCAATTCCCTCCGAGCTCTCCCCTTGCATGAAGCGCACATTCATCCGCCGGGAACACCTCATGTAAGTGCCCTTGATGGCGTCCGGCATCTGTGCTGACACCTTCTAGGCAGTTAGCTCTTCGCTCCCAACCTGGGAGTCGGTCGTTGCCCTTGCGAGCGCAGACAAGACGGTGTTGGACAGAATTGACTACAGCTACCCGCGGTATGTGGCCTACCTATGTGACCTCGCCACAAAGACTCTTGTTCTGACGCTATCAAAAAGGTTCTTCATTGGCAAGCCTATCCTATCCCTCATCGAACGTGTCAGAGAACGGTTGAAATTCGATTCAGACGATCTAGTCTGCTTTATCTTTCCGTCTGCTGATGACGTCGACGACTACGCCGCACAGCTGCGGAAAAAGAATGCTGTGGTCCATCACGTCCGCTTCTTCTCGCCAGTAGCAGCGAATTCATCGAATGGAAATGATTACCTTGCTTTCTCGGCGTTGTTCGTTCCCCCCGACTTTAAGGCATATGTAATGGAGTTCTGGGTGAACTTTGGCACCGGTATTTCCACGCGTCACGCCGAATATTGCTTGAAGCATTTTGACGAACTCATCTCGGATTCTCCTGATGTCAAACCAGTGACTGCGGACATACCCTCTCACGATCGATCATCCGAAGCCTGGATTCAGCGTGGCCCAAGGGACCTTGAAGACCTACAAGCCCACATTGCTCAGTTGGCTACTTCTGAAAGGGAAGACCTGAAGCCTGTCCAGGCTACAGATGTATTCATCTTTCCCAATGGCATGAATGCAATTTACAACGCTGCAGAAGTAATCGCGGTTAACAACCCAGATAGCTTCGTTGTTGCATTCGGGTGAGCTACGATACCTCTGTACCGAAAAGGAATTCTTGATAACCGTTTTCCTCTATAGCTGGATCTATCCTGAGACGATCGAAAATCTTCGTCGGGGGACCTGGAAAGACGTCATACCCTTCAAATTGGGCAATGAGGAGGAGTTGGATCAGCTTGCGTCTACATTGAAGACTAACGAGCAAATCATCGCTATCTTCTGTGAGCTACCAAGTAATATCAAGTTCACTTCACCCAACCTCCACAGGATTCGAGAGTTGGCAAACGAGTACGGCCTCATCGTCGTTTGTGATGAAACAGTTGCCAACTTTGTCAACGTCGACCTCCTGCCCTACGTCGATATCATCACGACTAGTTTGACCAAGATGTTCAGCGGAGTAGCAAACGTGACAGGAGGAAGGTCTGTGGCCCTGTACCAAACTCTCAGGCTCGATAGCATCGACCGCTGACACAGGCCCCGGTATAGCGTCATCGTCAATCCTAATTTTGGTCATTATGAGGAGCTGCACTACGCCCTCAGATGTCGGTATCCAGTTGTGACGTGCTTTCCCAAGGACATTGCAGTCCTCAAGCAAAACTCGATCAACATGGTTGAAAGGGTGAAGAAAGCCAATGAAAATACCCTGATCGTTATAGATCGTTTCGAAAAGCACCCTTCAGTCGCCTACGTCAATTATCCATCTCGACCTGCGACAATCCAGAACTATGAAAGGCACCGGCGAAAGAATGGAGGATATGGCAATGTCTTCAGTGTGGTATTTCACAACCCGGAGTCTGCTCAGTACTTTTACGACAATCTGGATGTTTGCAAAGGCCCAAGCTTTGGGACCAACTTCACTCTTGCGATTCCGTTTGTCCAGCTGGCTGTATATAATGTGGGGGAAAGACTCGAAAAGTACGATCTTCCGAAGCATATTATCCGGATCAGTGTTGGGCTTGAAAATTCCCGTCAGATTTGTTCTAAGATGGAGGAGGCATTGGCCAAAGTTGTACGGTTCGAACAGAGTCTTGGGTCTCAGGCTTGAATCATTAGGGCGGGGTTAGGCCATGCAAGAGTAGAGCTATGGGTGATTTAGTTACCACGCGGGCTATGAGCAGGCAGATGTTTCCAACTTGGAAGCATGTTATAGCCCTGTTAGAATGGTTGTTTGTATTCATCAAAACGGTCTAATAATTCACTAGTATCAATACTATCTAGGCCCTCAACTTACTCCCTGACTTTAAGACTTCACGACCACAGTATCAAACGAGGACGGCCTCCAGTCTTGTGCTCAGGTAGAAGTCCAATGAAGCTGCTAAGGCATAGTCGTGGTCTGTACGGCAGGCCAAGCTCGGGACAAGGCTCTGGCTCTACCTTTTCAACCTGATGCATGTTCCTTGAGTTGAAGAACCACAGATCACCAACTTCGGGTTTGACAACAACGTTCTGGCGGCCATGAATAATCTCATCACGATAGCCGTAAGTATCAGGATCCCTAAAGTTGAGGCACTCTTCACTCCACTCAACGTCGTGCACCCAAGTCCTGCCACCTTTTACGGGTGCCATGTACAAGTTGAAAACGGCCTGGTGAGTGACCTGAAGAGCAGGTTAGTTATACGAATACTCCAAAAGACGTACACTCCGTGATGAGGTATGTTGGAAAAAAGCGTACCTGATTGATAATCCAGTCCTCAGTAGCGGCATCATACGGTGTCCAGTCACAGTGAAGGCAAGTTGAGTCGTTTAGAGCACGAAAGTTGCCGGAGAAGTATGTTTTCCCCGGCCCTTCTGATGCACGAACGATCTCATAATCCGGCAGAAGGGCACGGAGCGTTCCTATAACCTTCTCCCAGGCATTGACTCCAGTCTGGTCTGCAACTTCTTGATGGAGACCACTCAGAGACTGTGCAACCTTGAAGTATTCTTCCTTCTCTGACAACAGATATGTTAGATCACCTGTTCCAGTAGGTAAGACGAGATGACACGTACCATTCTTGCGGTTCTCAAAGTCAGCAGCAGCTTGCGCCTGGTACTCAAACTGCGCACAACCAACCCTCTGCAAAAGAGGTCCAGTGTAATACCTATACGGCGCAATCCTATGACTCAACGCTTTCTCATGAGCAAAGCATTCCTCACGGCCAAGGAAGCCAGGCTGCTTGATCACTGGTGTCCGGTTAAACAGAACATCGAGGAAGTTTTCTCCCGAAAGCGGCACAGGAGCTGTTCGCTTCCACTTGGATTGGTATGGGGGTGCTGCCCTACCCAGAGTTGGAAGGGCGGGGGAGAAGGCCTTTCCTGCGAGAGGGGCTCTGGAGAGGGTCCTTGCTGTGGTGGCGTATTGGGACATGATGGGTATGCAAGATGCTGGATGATATGATGGCTATGGGGTTTTTTACTGTAGTGAATGCTGTTTGGTGTCCTGCTGTAAGCTCTTATAGTATGCAGGGCATTAAAGGTGACGTTGAACTGCCTGATAACGGGTTTCTGGCTCGAAATGTGAAATGCTGTATTAGTCCTTAATAGTTAAAAAAAGACAAAAGTTTAAGTAAACTTTATAATAAGCTTCTAAATAATTTAATATTATATTAACTATTATATATTAAATTATTTTATAAATTTATTCTTCTTGTTAAAGATAGTATATAATAATTATATACTTAACTTTTTATTTAAAATTTCTAATAATATTTTTTACTTATGTAAGATAAAATATTTATTAATAGTATTTAATAAGCCTATTTTTACCTTATAATAAACTTCTATAATAATACATATATTTTAATTAAAATATAAAAGTCTAATATACTATTTAATATTTGTAATTTATTATATACTTATTTATAAAAAACCATCCCTAATTTTCAGGCATCTTTTGCTTAAGGTGTGTATATAACCTTATCCACTTATCCCTCCCCCAAATAACATTCCCGGCTTACAAGCGGGACGGCCCATATCTGATACAACCTTTCCACAGTTTCTTGGGTTGCATCTGTCTTATGTGCATACACGACTGTGCATTTCTGGGTTACCGGCAATACGGCACTCAAGGGAGGCTTGGAAGGTTTTGATTAACGCAAGCATGATCTGACACTCGCTTAGACAAACCCACACATATGATCTGATGTTGCCAACGTGCGCTTATAATCTTGCATGACGGCACGTTGTCTAATGCAGATTGTTACATGCGAGATTACGGCGTAAAGAACTGGGATTTGTTCCTGCGTTAAGGGGGCCAATCATCGTTCTTCTTGGGTGAGGCAGAAGGATTCTGTTTGATAGAGTTGGAAGGATTGGATGAGATTCTGAGGAAACTGGGCTTGCGTAAAGATGGTATGATCACGGTTGATAGACGCGGGAAGAGGTGAGATGCCTAGACATGAAGTGGGCGGGCGTCAGCGCCTTCCTGGCAGCTGCGTGCATCAGAAGATGATAGTCGTGCAGGAAACTTAGGAAAGGTACTTCCACTGTTTGTACCTTTTCCAGTCAGCCTTTCTGAGAATCAGGCGATTTCAACGACCAGTTGTGAATAAGGCATTACATATGTGAAGCTTTACCAGAGAGCCTGGATCACTATGACTTTCACAAAACTGCGCTTCTAAGTCTGGGACTAGAAGCAAAACAAGAGAACATGTCAAACTCTACAGGCTTTATCGCCGATTTACCTGGCCTTTTCACAGACATACCAGGCTTTGTTGCTGATATCCCCTCTCGGGTTGACTTTACATCTATACCCGTTATTCTATCTTCCACTGTTGCTGTCCTTGCTTTCACATCCTTCGTCAAATATGTCGCTGAGAGACAGCAAGAAAAGGCAATGGGCTTCGGCCACGTCCCAACTCTTTGGCAATGGGATCCATTCTATGGCTTTGACGCCTTCGTTGCCATGCTACTAGCTCTGAAGAACAACCGCTACGTCCCATGGCTTGACAGTTTACACGCCAAGATGCCCAAGACTTTTGCTCTCACCTTCCTTGGTGGGCGTCAGATTTGGACTATTGAGCCTGAGAACCTGAAGACTGTGGCCAACAATCTTGCAGATTTTCAAGTAGGTCCAATTCGCTACAACAGCAAAGCTGGACAGCCCTTTGCTGAGAAAGGCATCGTCGGCGCTGATGGCAAAGACTGGGAATTTGCCCGCGCGCTTGTCAAGCCATTCTTCATGCGAGAGTGGTATGCCAATACTGAGCGCATGGAGCCTTTTGCTGAGAGATTCTTTGCGGGCATTCCTGCTGATGGAGAGACTTTTGATATGTTTCCCCATCTGCGAACCTGGTCGTTGAATCTCAACCTCCAATTCCTTTTTGGCGATTACTCAGATATTGTTACTGAGGAAGAGACCAATAATACCACTGATGCTTTCATCACCGGTTTGGCATATGCACGAATTCGCCTTCTCTTGCACCGCGTTCTCTGGCTCTTCCCGTGGAAGACATGGTACAAGGTTGTTGGCACAATTCACAGTTATGTCAACAAGCATATTGCCAAGGCCCGTGCTGAACTCAAAGAGCGCGAGGAGCGCATCAGCAAGGGTCTTCCTGTTGGGCCGGAGAGACGGGACGTCTGCTGGCACATGGTTCGGGAGTTACCGAATGACGATGAAGTCAGATCTCATCTCTGCTTGCTCTTTGTACCCAACAACGAGACTACTCTGATTTTCCTGTCCAATGTAATGTGGAATTTGGCCAGGCAGCCTGAAATCTGGGAGCGACTGCGTCAAGAGGTGAAGGGCAAGGAATTGAACTTCAACAGTCTCCGCGGCATGAAGCTTCTGCAAAACGTCCTCACAGAAGCTCATCGCATCACCCCTGTCGGTCTCTTCATCGCCCGCGCCGCAGTCCGCGACACCACCCTCCCCCGAGGTGGCGGTCCAAAAGGCGACCAGCCCGTGCGCGTACGCAAGGGTAACATTGTGCAGATCAACAAGGCGGTCATGTACAAAGACCCAGACTACTGGGGCGATGACGCCTTGGAGTTCAACCCGGACCGCTTTGATAAGATGCGTCCGGGGCTGAGTCTTACACCCTACAACACCGGGCCAAGACGATGTCCTGGTGAGATGATGACTATGAGCGAGTGTGGGTATATGGTTGCTCGTATGGCGCAGACTTACAAAAGGTTGGAGTGTAGGGATCCGACGCCGTTTGTGGGTGTTTTCCGTATTGGGCAGTTGAATAAGAATGGATGTCAGGTTGCTGTATACAGAGAGTAGTTGCTGCATAGAAAGGAAGACGAAGCAGCTTTCCGAGAAATAGAGTTTGATTGTTCGGAGACTTTCTTATCGAGGCACTGTCCTGAAATCGACTCCGTCGTCGAATCTACTTCCATTTTTGGCTAATACCACGTTTCTTGGCTCATCACATCTTGTTTGAAGTGCATATGCGAGCTGGTACCTTATGAAAGGGGAGACAAAAAGGTTTAGGACCTCTACCCTAGAGTACACAAAGACTTGAGTAATTTTAGTATAACTTAGTATAGATTTAGCAGACCTTAGAGTAGGTATTTTTGGCCTGTTGGTTTAATGTCAGCGGCTTTCATGCTCCATAGGGCTTGTTGGCCAAGGACTTCTCCTGCTGACATGCGTATTGATCTCAAATAGCATAGGCATCTTCAATTGGAACTTGTGAACTGTTATTTCTCTTCTCCCGAAAGTTATCGGGCAGCAAGGTAGGATCTAAGCGATTACGCCTTGGCAGCCCATCAACGACGTTACAATCGCCAAGCAGCCCAAGACCTTGTGCTTACTCGCATCTTACAAAACTGCATGGGATTTACGAAATACCATACATAGTACGCCATGTGGATCCTTCCATGTGAAACTGACAGGCACTCTAGAAGCAAGGTCGCGGCAGATAATGTTTAGGGTAACGGTGGAAGGATTCAGACGACGGATTCGATTTCGTAATTGACAGGGATACAACGGGGAGTCGGAAAAACTTGGCACACGGGCACTACTCGGGAGCGCTATGAGTAGCCCTTTTCGAGTCATGCAGCTTATGTTTAGGGCGCATTTAGTGTGAACTCTACTCAAGTAATCTCCGGGGAGAAAAGGACTCAGTACCGGGTAAGCAGCGTATGATAATCAAGTTTCATTCTATAGCTTAACCCAAAGTTCCTTTCTAATGTACCATTTTAATGCCGCTATTCCGTATCTGATCTTATGATCTACTGTTGCCATTCGTGTTCGCATTCTCGGCAACTGGTTCCCCTGTTGTCTCCTTGGTCTCTGTGCTCTCAGTCACTGGTGTTTCCTCTTTTGGCTTGTTCTGCTTAATACTCCTCCACTCCATACAAACAGCTCCCAGATAGCCTATGCAGGATAGAATGAGTCCACAAAGGAATGCTTGCCGTAGAGAAGCATTGTAAGCAACAAGAACAAGCCGCTTTGTTGATTCACTCAATCCATCCAGAATTCTGGTAGCACCTTCTTGTTGAAGATTGAATACATCAACGCCAGGAATAACACTGATTCTTTTCACCAATTCATTTGTGAAAAGGTTCTGTCCAACGCTGACAAAGATGGCACCTCCCAAGAGCTGACAGAAGATCAGGACAGAAGTGCCTGTTGGGACGTCTTCCAAGGGCAGCACAGTCTGAGAGGCAATGAGAGGGATTTGAAGAGTGATGCCTAAACCGAAGCCGTATGGTATCTGGTAACCGATCCACTCTCCACTGCTAGTGTGTACTTTGAGTAAAGTGAGAAGGCCTGTACCGACACACATAATGGCATTGCCAACAAGCATGAAGGGCATATATTGTCCAATAGTTTGTACACCACCAGCACTCACAAATGAGGCAACGACTTGAGCGACGACAGTGGGCAGAAGGCGAATACCTGATTGAACAGCACTGACGCCCTTGATAGCTTGGAACCAAATGGGGAGATAGTATAGCGTCGTCATCATAGTAGCTCCAGTACAGAACATGGAGAAAGATGAGGCGGCGATGCTTCGTTGAGTAAAGATATGCGGCGGTACAGTTGCGTGGTTCGGAAAGAGGATCTGAATAACGACAAAGGCGATAAGACAGACGCCAGTAACAACAAAGAGTGCGATGATGCGACCGTTGGACCATGGGTACTTTGTACCGCCCCATCGAAGAGCAGTAAGAAGACTAATGATACCGCCGAGAAGCATAACGCATCCTGGGCCATCGAGACGAAGGAGCTTTTCTTTGAGGGGGAGGCGAGCAGTTGCGCGATCGGGGACTTGGAGCAAAAATGCGAGGAGGGCGGCAGCAACAGCCCCGATGGGTAAGTTGATGTAGACTGATGTTTGTTAGTGACCATTCATTTCTTAAAGGCAGTCGAACTTACAACACCATCTCCAAGTTGCGCTGGAGTCTGTGAAT